AAAAAACAGAGACCGTCCGTTAATCCACTTTGGAGGCAAGCGATAATAAACCTCGCGTAATCCAGCCGGAATTAGACGCACCAGGGATTTTTTTTCTTCTTTTTTTTTTTTTTTTTGTGTATACCGATTCCGCGAGTTTCGTTAAATACCGATAACGGTCGGGCTGTGTCGCCCCGCTGGGAAATCAGATTCAAATTGAGCTGGGGAAACTCTTTTCCATCCGCGTGATTCCAAAGAAGGAAAATGAAAAAAAAATTCATCGGTTTGTTTTACAGCGTCGCAACGCGGACCCGCCGGTTTTTCCATTAGCGCGGATTTCAATATTCAAATGATCCCCCTTTCCCCTCAAAAAATCCCCTCGGTCCAAAGGTTTGCCCTCCCCCCCGCGTGTGTAATTGGAGCACCGCGTTCAAACATGAAAATCTAGTCACGAGGGGAGTCGAGCTCGTTTGGACACCCGTGAAAATTCATCCAGCCGCGAGGGAAGAATCAACACGGTTTAATTATCGTGGCGGCCAAATCTAGGCGATATAGGCCATGCAACGAAATTCTCAACGTACATAGTCTTAATCGGTCGCCGAGCCAACATTTACATACACATATGTACCCATGCACAAAAGAAGTTACACGGTGTAAAAAAAATAGGGGGTTGAAAAAAAAACGAGGCGCTCACGAGGTGCACCCGTCGACAGCTAGCACGCCAACGTGGTGGTGGATGGGGTCTCTGGAGACGGTGGTAAAGGGCACAGGAGGAGTCCCAGACAAGGCAAACGAAAATAAATTCCAATCGGATTGTATCCTCAAAGTTCGGACTGTGATTGCGCGCTCGGGGAAGCTCGTGTAGATTGAGACGGTGTTGGGTGTGGGGGGTGGGGGAGAGACCCCAAACGAGGTTTCGATCGCGGTAATTTAACGGGTAACGTACGGTCGCTCCGCGCTGGAGCTCTTCTCTCTGCCTTCCTTCCCTCCTCCCATACCTATTATCCCGTCGCTTTATTTGCAACTTTACTCCCGTATCGCCATCCTTACCCGTTTCATGTGAAAATATATGTGTATATATATACGCCGCAACTCCGCAGGCGTACATTGGTATACGCGTATACGTACCAACGCGGCACTGCGCGGGGAGGGAAAATTCGGTTCAAAAGTCAATTTAAACTAAAAGCAGCGCAAAGAAGATGTATGTCTTGTTCGTCATTCGGAATAGCTGTAATGGGATGTGTGTACATATACGGTGAATTAATGTTAAGGTTGTTGCTCCAATGGTGGAATTTTTAAAGGTTATCCGTAGCTGACATATAATAATAATGTGTAGCAGCGGGACCAATTGTCTTCGTGTGTGCATGAGAAGAGTACCCGCGTGTTAAAAATTCACATCCAGTTTCTCTCGAGGACTTCTCAATATTCCAAGCGAATCTCATGGCGATCGGAGGGAGATAGAGGATACACAGAGAGGTACGGGCTTAACTCTTCTCGCAGCTGTATACGTGTCCTACCGAAAATCCGTACATCAGTTGTGCACGAGCCTATCTTTTTCTCTCTGTGTCCGTGGTACTATACGTATACGTATGTATAGCCGTGAAACTTTGATTCGGTGGATCCGCTTAAGGACTGTATCATAAAAGCATTTTCGAGCTAATCGCTTGTGTGCCGTTGGTACAGCCCAGGTCTTGGCCCAATTTCTTGATCCTCTCTTCGGACACTCTGGGTCTCGAGCAGTTGTATGTTGTACTTGCCGATGGACCCCTTTTTCATCCATCGCCACTCTATATGATACATCGTTCGATAAACCCGGGGGACGGTGGAGTTTTGGTGCACACAAGCGCGTGCGGGCTATCGTCATGGCGACGCGGCAAACAGACGCATACATGCCAAGCGAACGACTCTCGTCCTTATTATACGCGTGTTTTCATACAGCCCGTTTACGTGTATAAAATATACACACGTCAGGTGTGTACTTACCCATCAGTCCCGGGAATATTCTTATGTCCTTTGTACGTCTTTTACCACCTGCAATGGTAGTTTCGCGACCGCCAGTCTAGCATCTCCCGGCGTATTCCTTGTTTACTTTCCCCCCCCCCTTCTTCTTTTTCATACATACAGCCGAGAGTCATCGCAGAGTCAAGAGTGCGTCTGTGCGGCAAACAGTGTGACAGGTGCCTTACCTACTTGTAAGACAGGACGCGAGGAAAAGGAGGAACCGGGGAGCTCCTGCAAAAGGGTAGGTGTACACGTGCGTCTCTTTACCTCCCCGTTTGCCGGTGTTGCTCTTTGATTTTCCACTCCCGAGCTTCTCCATGTACTTTTTTCTCCTCATCTTGCATTTATTAGGTATACCGTATATGTAGCTACAGCAGGGGGGGGGGGAGGACGCGCTTCTCTCTGTATTAAAGCCTCCCTTTGTCTGCGCGCTCGCGTATACTTGCCAAATTATTTTTTGCCTCATATTGTTTTTCGCTGTACGCGCGTGCCTCTTTATTCTCCTCCCCCTTTCTCCGCATACTCGAGACGCCGTTGTTGTTTACGAGCGAGAGTTTACGGCGCATAATGTCACCTTGTGGGTACGGCGCGCAGGTACAGCTGCACCGCCGGGTAAATCTTTTCTTTTATTGAATACGCGCTTGCGAGAGCTGTGTTCGTATATGCAGGGGTTGGGTTGGGGGTTATGTACCCACGGAGGATGGAAAATATTTTTTTCTTCAAGTCGGCTGCCTCGTTGGGGGGTATAACTAGTTTTTGTTATGCAAAGGTAACGCAACATGTGCCCCTATTATCGTGGAAATGATGTTGTGCGTAAACAAGGATACGGCGTAGTATCATTTGCTTTTTTCTTTTTTTTTTTTTTTTTTTTTTTTTTTTATATAGGAATACGTCCCTGTTGGCTGATGAAAAACATCACTACTAAACAATAACGACACTTAAGAGAAGAAAATATGGCGAGTATAATAAAGCACGTCTTTAGTAATTACAACGAGTTTCTGGAAACCAGCAAAGGTGAGACATTTTTGATCAAGGCATCAATTGGCAACACCTGCTAATATATAAACATAATTTTATTTTATAATGCGTTTCCAACGTCACCAGTGACAAATACATGTACTGTGGCGCAGAAATTACAAAATTACTGCACTAAAAAGAGTCAATTTAAGTATTGGTACAACGTGACCAACACTGTAGCAAANGGTACGGGGGCACTACCAAGGGATCCATTCCATCACAACTCTCGTGTCCTGATTTCACACCGATGCGATGGTCCTTTGTTTTTGATCACCGTTCGTGCATTTTTTTTTTTTTTTTTTTTTTTTTTTTTTTTATCATCACTATGTGACCGGTTGCATCTAAGTGAATCGATTTTCATGCGTAATAAACAAATCCACAAACAGAGCTTGCGATTTTTCATATTCATCAATGGATAACTTGCAGGAGAGTATTCACAAAGTTGCACGAATCTCGTGAAATTTTTACCAGTTGCCCGGAAAGTAGTCGGGCTCGCGGTTATCACGTGGGGATGAACGAAGAAAATTCTTCTGCCTACCGAGTTTTCCGATTGCCTTGAAATTATTTTTCTCCTTTACAAATACGGATGCCGGTACGACCCAAGGTCTTGGAAAGAAGCCCCTGCGTGTACTCGAAAGTAATATTGTAGAGCTCCTTTGACGCGTAAAATAAGTGCACAGGGAGAGAAAAAAAAATAAGAAATAAAAAAAGAATAGAGAAACGGAGAAGAGCCCCGCTGACCTCGATATGAGTATAAATTCTCTCGAGGCCGCAATGCGTTTTCTTTCGCCCTTTCCGCGTGTTTGACTTCGCCGAGAGAGAGCTGTTAAATGACACCGCGATTTTTCGCTCAGTCGCGTGGCACGCGCGGGAAAAGCTCCTTCTGAGCAAAACCAAACAAAAAAGAAAAAGTAGATCCGCTCGGTGCCCCGGTGAGCTTGCAATTTGCCGACGTTTTCTTCCTTTGCTCCGCCGTTCATTCACGAGGTATTAAAAATTGCGACCCGAGCTTCTTCTCCGCCGTATACGCGAGCTCTGTGGAACTTTTGTGCGTCGAAGCTTTGCGCCACGAATGGAAAGCATTATTAGTTTGCTCCAGATCCGCGAACTATTTGGAAAAAAAAAAAAAAAAAAAAAAAAAAAAAAAAAAAAAAAAAAAAAAAAAAAAAAAAATTGAGCGACCCATTAAGCGAAAGTGTATAGGCAACTAACGAGTTGCTGTTGTTGTTTTGTTGAAGCTCTTGGCCATAAAATCACAGGTGTATAGATGTAGGGCTCCTCCCGACGTAACACATTCACAAAGTTCACCTCGATACTTACGCGCGTGGACACAGCTCGCAGCCCAAAAATAAAAAATATTTTACCGATCAAACTTTCCATCCCCCGAAAACCCGACCTTCGTATCCCATCGTTGCGGATCTCCCGCAGCCGAGTCGTAATTTCCGATACCTTCCATGTATACATATATACACCGGTCGGTCGCGCAACATACCTCCTTCTTCCTCATTACCGCGTATCTATTTAAATTAAGGCGAGCAGCGCCGCGGGATCAGAAACTCTCGTCCTAAGCCTTTAAGCATCCTGACTTCCGAGACGGGGCCAACTCCACTTCGTTTCCGGAGTCCCCTTTGTGTGCGTACACACCGATACACCCTCCTCGGGCCGGATTAGCGCGAAGGAACCCGATAAATTTCTTAAGGCGGGCAGCCCCGCCGACTCGAGTTATATACACCGACATCTCGCGATAATTAACTGCTGCCAGCTGGAATTTCGCGACCCTCGCTCTTTTTTCATCAGCGAAGCTTAAACTTTACGCCCTCCCGACCCCTCTCATTTTCTCGCCACGTAATGAGGTGAAACCAGCTAGTTCGTATCTCACGCGATTCTCACGCGTAAGCTCGATGGAATATCTTACGAACAATATACTCCCATCGGGTGCTCGTGCTTCGTGAAGGGACGCACAGAGTACGAAAAGCAGATCGATGCGGAGGTCGGAGGGCGGGATGGCTGGCGACGTCGGGGCGGCCGGCGGCAGTGGCGTCGTCGGCACGTCGGTGCCCTTGGCTGCCAGACCTCAAGCCAACGTCGTGGGCACGAGCAGCGTGCCCTTAGGCTACAGGCTGGGCCGGCTCGACTGCAGCAGGAGACCGAAGCCCGCCAAACCGCTGATCGGCTACGATCCGAAGGAGGCAGCCCTGCACATGGCCCTCGAGGACGAGAGGAAGGCCCAGCTGTACTTTTACGAGATGCAGCAGGAGAAGCGCGAGCAATGGAAGGCAATCGAGGTCGAGATCAAGAGACGGGTCCAGCTTGGTAAGAGGGTACCACACCTAAAATGCCTTGTACGCGGGAGGGGAGGTGAAAAATTGATTGATCGCTCTCCCGTGGCGAGGGGATTATTATACTCGGGATCATTTTTTACGAACCAGCCAGTCATACAGGGGAAGGGGGCACCGATCGTGGACGAGTGAGAAATTAAACCACGTCGATCTTTAATTGCCACAATATATACGAGGGCGGGCTTGCTCCCTACATGAGTAAGCGATAGAATTTGTACCTCCAATCTCGTGGTCCGTCAAACGCGTCACGCTGGATCGATAATATTAAATTACCGTGTTCAACACCAGCTCGGCCGATTCCTTCGGTTCATTAAGCGCTGGCGCAGGTGCGCTCCCCGCGCTCGCGTGAATTATCCCCGAATTCGATCGGACGCGCGTACAGGGCGCGTTCCAAAGTTGGGAGCTGATCGCTCGCTCGCCAGAGTTTCCGCCGCACGATCGTTGCGTGCAAATTGCCGGGGGATAGACACCGCCGTGGGAGTATAGGTTCCGGGTTTTGGTGGGGGTTGGGGGTTTGTCTCCAACTTCCCGGTAACAATCGGATAACTGCCTCGGCCGATGCGCCAGCAATACCGTGCGACAAACGAACGTCTCGGCAACTTGGCTCGGTCCCTGCCGCCGCGAACTGGTACATTGTCTTTGCGCGATGGGAAACGTCGTAAACAGGTACGGGGGCACTACCAAGGGATCCATTCCATCAGCCCCGGGTTGTCCTTTGATGATCGTGAAAAAAAAAAAAAAAAAAAAAAAACAACATTCCCAATAGGCATGGAGGCGTACGAGCAGGACCTGGAGGAGCGTCGGGACCAGTTGCGGGAGATGTTGGTGCGCGAGGAGGCCGAGCTAACGCGCGAGCTCGTCGAGAAGTCCCGCAAGCTCGAGGAGGAGCGCGCGGCCGAGCTCGAGGCGAGGGCGGCCGAGGCGGCCGAGGAGGCCGAGGCCAAGCGGCTCGAGCTACTGCGCGAGAAGCAGCTCCAACGCTACGTCGAGCTTAACGAGGAACTCAAGGAGAGCCGGAGGCGTGCCTGGACCGTGGACGCGAAGCGCGTCAACCGCGTGCAAATCGAGGAGGCGGAGCAGCGGCGCAGGTACGAGCCCTCCTCTTTTTCTTTCCACTCTCCGAGGGGATGACAGGTCTTTCCAAAACAAATCACGCGACAGCAGCCCGACCCCGTAAATTTCCCTCCCCCCCTCGCCCGACCGCAGCGGAAACTTGGCTCGTCCAACTCGGGCCGAGATTCCCCGGAGAGAGTCCCATTAGCCGGGGGGGACGAGTATCTTGCGGAGGGCTCACTCGGGTGGTTTTTGCAGGCGGGAGCAGGAGGACGAGTCGTTCTGGCACGAGTTGGCTGAGCGGCGGGGTCGCGAGGAGGCCGCTGAGATGGCGAGCACGGCGACCCGGCGCGCCGAGTTGGAGCGCGAGACGGCGCGGCAGCTGCGGGAGCAGATGAGGGAGCGCGAGGAGCAGCGGAGGCAGTGCTCGGGCCCGCTGGAGTTCGGGATGTTGAGGATCGGCGAGCGCGAGGAGGTGGACGAGGAGGAGAGACGGGAGAAGAAGAGGCGGGCCAGGGAGGAGCTGGACCGGCAGCTGGGGCAGGCAAGGGAGAGCTTGCAGCGGAGGCGCGACGAGGAGAGGGCCCTCGCAGAGATGGCCGCGATCTTTGCCAAGGAGGAGCCCGAGCCGGGGGAGGCGAGGAGGAACAAGGAGGCCAGGCGCAGGGAGGCTCTAGCTTTCATGGAGAGCATGAGGGTGCGTTGCCTCTTGGACTTTGGTCCCGTCCACCGAAATGACATGTGTCCCTTTGCCCCCAATTGGGGTCTAATGAGTGCACGCGACAGGCAAATATGGAGTGCCTCCATGCGAACTTTCGCTCGTGGGATTCGGGCTTGCGCTTGACGTCTAGGTGGCCGGATGTCACGAGGCAAGCGTGGTTTCACGAATCGAGGTCATGGAATATGTATATTGATGTTTGGATGCAACGGGAGGGAGGGATCGTGATTCTTAAATTTCGGATTTTCAAGGAGGAATCGCTGACGCGCAAAACCCGAGAGATACTTTGAACTTGATTTTGAGTTCAAAGGGGGAGCAAAAAATGTGGAAAGAAAAAAAAGTAATAGACGAGACGAGCATGTACGAGGCAGCCGGGGCTTTTATCGGATCCCCGGGAGCACAGAGAAAATATACAGAGGAGAAGCGAGAAGGGACGGAAATCAAATAGATTTTACGTTAGCACGGCACCAGAAGTGCTCCTCAAAATCTCTAGCACGTGAAAAAGGTTCAAATACTCTTACACAAATGCGACGCTTCCGCCCCCCTCTTTTTTGTCTGTTCCTTTTGTTTATTCCTTTCCATTCGAGCTGCCCGAATACACACGCAAGAGATTTTTTCACTACGTACTCGTAGCTTCATTTTTTTTTCTCTGTCGCTGACGTCCCGTTTCTAGGATTTCTCGCGGATAACACTCTTGGGGCCAGAAACGTTTTATGTGTTTCTCTCCCAGCCGACTGTCACTCGTTTTGTCCCCCCCCCCTTCCCCTCGCAAAAGCCTTTCAAATGTGTTTGGATTTTCAACATAGTTTTCAGATTTTCATACACCACTGAGCGCGCATCGAATTTCCAAGTTTAAAACGCACAAAAAAACCAACAAGCCGAGCGTCTGACGTAAGCGCGAGCTATACTACTGCCACCGCTGAGCAGAGCCTCACGCGTAGTCAACTACGATTTCGGGACGGCAAAAGAGAGCTGCCCTTTTTTTCCAAAGGAGAAATAGAGTTCCTACATAGCACACGAATCCAAACACGCAACAACATTACCGTGGCTCCGCGCAGCTGAAATTCCGGGGTGCCTCGAACAATGAAGCGAGCGCGCAATAACCAGCCGCAGGTATAGGGAGGGCGCAAACGCAAGCAAGCCAGAAACGTCAGTCCCTTAGCTTCTGCTCTTAATTAATTTCGGCAAAATGACTCGAGACTTGGAGACGTACGTCTCGCAATCAGCGCCCGCGGCACTGTACATATTGCATGTACGCGTGTATAGCCAACAGCAGCCAGCCATATAGTCTTCCGCTTCCGCTACCTTATATATACATACATTCACCAGAAGCCAATCTCGGCGCGCGTGTATATATATATATATATATATACCCGGCATTGTTCCACAGTAGTTCGCGGATACGCGCGTTTCTGCCGCTCCACGCGCGCCCTCGACACGCTTCCTGGCGCTTTAGGTGTATATACGTATATGTACATCTGGTACACTCTCCGCTGAAAGCCGCGAGCAATTACGCGCGTACGCATCATACAAATGATAATCCGCGTGGCTTTTGCTGTTACCTCAAATCGCCCTCAAGTTTTTCCTTCTTTGTATTTTCGCAATACTACTTGTATGACGACAAAGTTTAATCACCATTGAGATGTTTGCTCGGTGTCGGGATCTGCACCTGTAATACCAGGCATTTTCAGTTTTTATATATTAACCACAATAGCACGTCCAATGTTGGACAGCGAGTCGCAAATTTCACGGGAATATCAAAAGCTGCGGGTGGGAGCAACAAAACACCGAACCGGCAATAACAGCAGAGCAGAGCGCGGTAATTTAATTTGGCAAATGGCCCTCCGTTTCGGCACAATGGTCCTCCACGGTTGGGCGTATGTACGCGAAAACGCGGGCTGTACAAACGGGAATGAGCCCCGGGAAAAGTTAATCAGATAAAAGCCTAGATTCATATAAAAGCCCTTTCGCGTACCCCCCCCCCCCCCCCATTCTCTGCCACGAACAAACACGCCAACAAAGATCTACCCCCGTACACGCGCGGAGGGTAATCAGCGGAGAGCGTTCCGCCTCTCGACCAAAGATCCGCCGCATCGTGTACAGTCGAGAGAGCCCGGCTGACAAAGTGCTGGACACGCTCTACCGTACAACACTGCAGTGCACAAGTATATGTATAGGGGTGTACATGGGCTGGCGTGGCGTTTCGCAGGGCTTCCGTGAGGCGGTCAGCTGCCGGGAGGCGGAAGCCGAGGAGTGTGCGCGTCGCCTGGCCACGGAAGCGGAGTTCAAGCGGCGCGAGGCCGCCCGCCAACACAGGGAGGAGAGGGCCAGGACGTGCAGGGAGACCAAGCTCGCTTGGGACCGCCAGATCGAGGAGAAGCGCCAGCGACAGTTGCTGGAGCTCGAGGCCGACCGCGCCGAGCTTTGTGAGTCTTTTTCTTTCTCCCTCCTCCGCGCGTTTGGCCCCGAGGAGCGGGCTTTTTTTTCAGGATATTTCAAAGGAACGAGGGGTCTTTTTTTTACGCTCGCGATGCCTCTTTCAACGGGGCTCGGATGGAGCCTAACGAGACTCCGAAAACGTTGGAAAAAACGTGGAAAGAAGAGCCCCGTCTGACCTAATATCGAGCTGTACTACTGAATTGATCGATGGAGTGGCCGAGAACTTTGGGGTCTCGGTGAAAAGTCTCAGCCTAACGATTTCTCCCGAGTTTGAGTAAAAGTGAACAATTTTCAGATTTTCACACGGCTATTCTTTGCAACAGGGGTTTCGTGGGCGTGTAAAACCCTGTGGAACAATCGTGGTATAAAATGGCAAACGAATCCATGCAATAAAAAATATGTAGAGTTTTCTTGGTAGGCATAAACAATTGTACGTCTTTTTTTCAATTGTCGATTACAGCAAATGATTCTTTACGATGATCCTAGAATAAATTATTTAGAGTCAAGTCTCGTAAGACATTGAAAATAAAAATCGAATGGAAATTGAAAAAAAGGTCGCATTTTTTTCACATATTAAATATATGAGTTCTTTAGTTTTTGAAGGTTGAAACATTATTCTTTTATAGATCTGTTTTATCCAATTAAAAACATTTTTTTAATAGATGGAATCTCCGTAAAGTATAGTATACTGAGTTTAAAGAAAGAAATGGATACTCGACGCCGTTTTTCGTACACTTGTAGAAATTTTCTTACCCCTTCCGTCTCTTGCGTGGAAAAAAAAGCAATTCAATCACCCCACCCGCATCGGAGCACTGACTCAAACGAACGTCGGCAAATATAAATTTCCGCGAGAGTTTTATCGCGCGCAAATACAGTCGGGCGTACACGAAAACTAGAAAAGGCCGGCCAGTTGCTTCCGGGACCAAATCCAGACGCCAGAGTCGCGCGCGCTGCGGCTAACCAACCATGTATTATATGCACCAGCGGCACGGAGTACACCAGCATCAAGAATGTTTCGCCGCTCGTACGCATAAACTATTCCGATGCGCTCGGCCGAGCACCACCAGCTGAAAGAAAGAGGGATGTGCATCACCTCCACCCACTCACCCACACATACAAGCATACATACATTCCAGCACTCGGGCTACAACTGCGCGCGAATTCCGGGAGGTCGAGTCACTCATTTCGGAGGTTCGCCGCGCGCTCTAGTCAACCTGTGTGTGTGTGTGTGTGTGTGTGTGTGTGTGTGTGTGTGTGTATGTGTGTAACTGCGAACAAACGGCCTGATGGGCTGACCGTTATACATTGTTGCGCGCGTTTACCCGCAGCGCGAAGAAAGTTACGGCGCCGTTAGTGCTTCCAGAGCCATTTGATGCAGCTTGCAGTCGTGGATCTGCAACTGCGTGCTCTTTCTTTATCGCGTATACTTAAAAAAATAAAAAAAACCTTACAGGACGGTATAATATAACCCGCTGTTTGGAGGGGCCGAAATTTCGTTGAAATGTACTTGCGACGAATCGCGCTGGTAATCGACATTGATCAAACGCATAGTGATTAATTTAGTATCGATCGATTTCATATATCATATAGTATTCCTGTTAAAGAGCTATCATGAAGTTGAATGCCGTAAACTATACCGCTTTCTAGCAGATGCATCAAAACCGTCACCGACTTGATAGAAAAAAAAAAAAAAAAATGATTTGCCGTTTCGTTTAGATTTTACGTTTTTTTTTTTTTTTTTTTCTGTGCAGCTACCGGCAAAAGTGTACCCACGAAGCAGGAGGAGAAGGCTCGGCGGCACAAGGCGGCTGTGGAGTACGGCCAGGAGCTGCTGGCCCAGCACGAGTGGATCGAGGCTCGTCGGGCCCGCGAGCAGCGCGAAATCGAAGAGACGGTCGAGCAACAGAAAGCCGAGCGCCAGCACGAGGAGGCTCGGATGGCTCGGGAGCTGGAGCTACGTGAGGCCAGGCCCGTACCCTGTGGCGCTGTCTCGTAAGGTAAGGCCTTCAGACTTGTGTCTTTTTTTTTTTTTTTTTTTTTTTTTTTTTTTCCGATGTAAGCATGATTCACGTACACATGTTGTTGGCGAGTACAGTGGCAATTCGTGCGTGTGTCTTTTCACCCGTGCCACGGTACGATTGGAAGCAGCTTTGATCGCCAGATGCCTTTTGCTCGTTCACCCGAAAATATATGCCTAGCAGATCCAAGCGGAGGCACAATAGTTCCTCGGGGCTGTACTTTACGGTATCCCTCTGGAGTAGCTCATAAAGAAACTCCGCCAACTCATTCCGTGGCTGTAATTAAATTCTTGGCGTTGAATTTTTTTTTTTTTTTCTTGTTTTTCGGTACATCACACAGGTAGCCCGTGAATTCGTTTCAATTCTCGCTCGGTTTTTGTTTGTTCTATTTCTGCAGCGTACGAGCAGAATCGTAATCAGCCACATGCGTTATTCCATGGCTGGACCGTTGGGCTGGAAGTACGCATGATCTGGAATTCGATGCGGGAAACGTGATTGAGGGAGCTACGAAAAAATACGAGCAAAAAACGACTACGGAACTCATGAGTATTAAACATACGTGAAATAACTTGGATCGCAAGGAACGTAAAAGAGAAAAAAAAAATCTATTTTCATGTATTAAAATGCTATTGGATTTTTTTTTTTTCATAATGAATACAGCACTAGTAATCATAGTAAAGAGAATATGCTAGGTAATAACTACGGGAATTTCGTACTTTATGAGCGCTGTCCATTTATCTTTAAAACAAAGAGAAGTCATCGTGCTCCTCGTGGACCTCAAAATTCCGAGGCGCTTTACTTTGAACAAGTCAAATATTTGATCAATCTTTTATTAATAATCCCTTGGCCCCACAGCTTCTCACTAACCACGCTCCTTCATTATCGTGGGATGCAGCTTTTCAAATATTTAATCAACGAAAATTATTAATTACAACATATTTTCATCATATATCCCCCCTTTTTTTTCCACAAGTATACGAGAGCAGCTGCTTGCAGATGCAAAATAAAGGTGTCAACCCCCACCCAGACGAAAATAGCTCTCACGATCGGCAAGTGGGAGGGGCGCTCCTCTGTCCTTTGAACTTTCAATTTCCAATTACTCGACACTTTAAGCCCGTAAAATTGGACTCGACGGAAGCAGCTCGAGTAATTTTGTCCCGTGAAAAGAAACTCGACGCGTTTCTGGCTTACGATACCTTGGGGGTCGGGGGAGGAAAGAAACCTAATTAGCGAAAAATAACGACAATAAACGCTTTTCGGATTTCTCTGCGGGTGTAAGTACGTATGTTCTTCCCAAAGAAGAGAGCGAGGGTGAAATCGGAGCGCGAGAACTTTTTCCCGTTCCAAGATTTCCCCGAAATCAAGTGCTCGAGCGAGTAGTTGGGAATTTCCTCCCAAACAGCGCGCGGTGTCAAGGCCGAGGGAGTGACCATTATTAAAAAACTTTATCCCTTCGACGAGACAAGCAGCAACAGCCCACGCAGCGCACACAACGCAAAGTTGCCAAAACGGCATGCACGAGTCTCTCCCCCCCTCAACCCCTGCCTTGCTCTCGTAAAACTTTGAGCGGAAGCTCAGGCAACACGTGGACTCGCTCCGTAATTAATTTTGGCTTTCTTGAATAGCGCCGTACGGCGAAGGGGCTGCTCACGATATTGGGTTCCCGCGAGGGGATGCAGCGCCACACGAGGGGAGAAAGGACCGATCGCCCGAGGGCTGCTACGCTCTGGGAATAATGCAAAATTAATTTCCTCCCCTCCGACTCCGCGGCCTCCCTTTTCCACGTGTACATGGTACATCGTCGTCTCGCGTCCTTACGGCTTTTCTCGATGACTCCTCGCCAAGCGCTGAACTTCGACACGCGACAACCGGCTGAGCACACGGAGTCAAAGTTTGGCGTCTATATATATCTACCTACAGTATATGCATATATGTATGTGCACCGAGTAGTCCTATACTAGAAAACAGGTCGCACTTTGATCCGTTGGATGTTTGCTGTCGCTCTACTCGACGTACGGTACACCGCGCGTTTGAGCGCGGGATGAGGTGCATTAAATTAATGACGGCGAACCTCAGCACCGCTTGGCCGGCCAACAGGGTGCAATCGATTATGAAACCAACATTACCACTCGTGTGTTATCGCGAGCAAAAAGAAAATCCGTTTCTGTCCATTTTGTTTCCAAGTAAAGTAACAAAGGAGCGCTCCCGCGGGGAATCGGCTTTTCAGCGGAAATGAAGATCGATGGACCCCTCCTCTGGAAACTTTCCTTGCACTGTCTCGGATGGTACCTTTTGGTTTACATCGCGTGAGACGTTAATAATGTAGAAGCTACATACAAATAGATGAGCATCAGCTCAATGGCACGCAAGTTCCGGAAAAAGAATAAACAACCCCGACCGGCCGGATGATGTATTAGGGACGTGGAGAGGAACCTCGGACCTTTACCTGTCACTTTCGGAAATTTTTCTCGACCCGCGCGACCTCGGCGCTAGTCACGAGCTTCTCTCGTTTACGCGCGAAATGCACCAATCGCAAATTCATTTCCATCCCCCCCGCCCAGCCACTTTCCGCGCCACTAAAAGTTTGTACAACTTCCCGCGAAGCGTCACGTATATATAGTGCGGTAGTCATGTAGCCTCCCCGGCGCCAATTTATTATTCTAAAGACACACTAACCTGCGCTGGCAAAGTTGTTTGCCAAGTTGATCTTCGCCTTGGCTCCGTATACATATGTATATACTTTGGCGAATGAACGGCCGATGGGGATGGTGGTATGACGCCATTCGCGCACGCGAACGCCTGTAATATCGTCTTGCATGTTTCAACGGGAGAAGCTGCAGGCAGGCCCGAAGTTTGCCTCGGTTAAGGATCAATTAGGCATTCAAAGGTGCTCGATGATTTATTTAGGGGCGCCTATGAGCGCGCGAGTATCGGAGCTCACTCGTTGGGAAGTGGATAGTTTGCTTCCTCGTGCTACCTATCGTAGAAGTAAGTAAGTAAGTAAGGCAGTAACCAAGTGTACACACAGGGAATTTAAAAATTTTTCTCGGCATTAGCACTCGGTGATTCTTTTTTTTTTTTTTTCTCCTCCTTTTACGAGTTACTTATGATGTAGCTCAGCTTGTTTATGCAAGGGATGTCCCAAAGTCTCTCATATAATCAAGTTTATAACGATGCGTATAAGCTATATTTGCTCATAAATTTTACTCCACGTACCTCTGATTTTTTCCAATTATATAATCAACAAAAACATACAATTTTTTTGATTAACTTTATCTTTGAAAAAGCCAGCACGGTGCTGCATTGTTTTGTCGTCCCATGGCATTATTTACAAAAACTCCATCAAACGCACCAGCAGCAATGAGAAATTCCCTCCAGGCGCAAACAACACCATCATCATCACGAGCGACATAAAGCCTCCATTCCGTACCCGCGAGCTCACGTGCGAAAGTGCACGATCCCACTACTGGAGTAAAGTATACAAACGAGCTTGTCACTCGCTCGCGGTCTCTTTTTCCTCCCATGCACCCAACGAAAGAGCGCACGCGATAATTTAACAAGTAGTACAGCTCAGCGTGCGCGCCGACGGAGCAATTTATACAAGTCGCACGCATATACACAGCCGGGTCTCATCCCCCCCGTTTAGATGCGCGAATCGACTATGAGCTTCCTTCCTCCCTCCCCCCTCCTTCGTATGAATACCGCATTTTTCTGGCGCACGAATTCAATTTCCCGTCGAGCGACACCCCCTCTGGTGTATTTTCTTCCCTCGCCTTCGTTTATCCGCGATTCGAGGACTCCTTTCTTTCTCTCGGGCGGAAGAGTCGCGCGCGAGTCTGATGGGAAAAGAAGGAGTGTATATGGGCGCGTGTATTATTGTTTGCGCGGAAATTATTCGCTGATCGGCGAGCGGGGAAACTCGTTTTTTTTGTTTTTTTCCTCTCCTTCTCTTATTCGTTCGGTGTCGCTGGGCGTGATGCGAATCGAGGATGAAAATTATATTTTGAAAAGTGAATTACAACGCTGAGGAGCTTGAATGACGGAGACTTCACCGGGGTCCTTTTGTTTTTTGTGCCGTTATCGAGAGCAAACACGTTTAAGTGATTACTAATGTTTACCAATATTTACTGCTAGCAAATATGTGAAAAAAAGGAGACATTTTGTGCGACTTTGTTTTTCGTCAATATAAACGTGCTATATTTAGCTCAACTCGAGGGGACATTTAGGACTGCACGGAACCCTGTCTCTTGAGCCATCAATCCTTGGAAGATGAAACTTTTTTTCTTCTCTCGCGCCATGTGCGCCGAGGAAAAGTTTTCTCCATGGGGGAGACGCGTAGACTCTTGCATCACCGTCGACGTCGCCGGTGACGACGAGACGGACACAAAAGGAACTTTTCATGGCTCTGTTTTGGTCGCTGGCGGGGGAAAAAAATCGCGAGAGCCGTGGCTGAAAAAACAGCCGGATATCGCGGGATTATTCCACCGCTACTATTTCCGGCCGCGAGAACCGATCGGGCGAAGCTATACGACTATTGTGTTTGGGGCGATTTCGCGACGAATTTTCTGATTATTCGGGGAAAGAGAGCGTACACGCATTTTTGCCGCGTAAGTGAACCGAAAGTCCGATTGTGCGCCCCACCACTCGCACGGAAAGTTTTTTTTTTTTTTTTTTTTTACACTCCTTCTTTTTTCATTTCCAGATCCACGGATAAAAGTTGCGCGTCGGGAAAATTGAATTTCTTAATTCCGTTTAACTGATTTTAAGTTTAAGAGACCGGCGGGGAAATAAGTGGCTTTTGTGCGGATCTGAAAAAATTTCGCCGAGGGACGCACGAACAAACTTTTTCGAGCTACATTTCCCTGAAATGATGTGATTTTAAAATATTTCCCCGAAAACCCTTTAACGCTGGAAAGAAAGCAGGGATTCCACTTTGTTCGAAAAGAAACAAAGACAGTAGTAAAACCGACAACGTATG